TATTCAAGCTAGTATCAAACTGGAGGAAGTGTGTGCTGGTTTGAGCTCAGCTTTTGTACTACTAACGCTCATGCAAACTGGCTGGAGAATGGAGTCTGTGCTCACTTCACAACAGCACAAGGAAAGGTGTATAGCACTGCACTAAGAACGAAGCGCTGAAGACGCTGCCAGTGCTTGAATTGGCAGAACTCGCTTCTTGTGGAATGCTTCTTTTTGCTAAGGGGCTTTGAGGAGCAGAGCCGGGTTGCAGCAGAGCAAGTGAGGTCAGACTGCAGCCCTAGCAGCCCTAACACCTGCCTTCCCCGGGGCTGGTGAGAAGGGACCCCTGCTTGGCACCACCACATTTCGCTCTTTGTGCTTGCACGCTCCGTGGCCTCTCTTTCCATAGTGCCACCTAGTGCCGGCTCCGTTACTGGCTTGCTTTTTCCTACTGTGAGCATCTGCCCCACAGGGCAGGCTGCGACCCAACACTCTCGCCTCACCAAAGCCAAACCCCAGCCATCATAGGAACAGCATATTTTTTAGAGGCAGCCCTATCTAACCAGCCCATTCCCTCGCTGCTGTACTTTAACTATTCAAGACACAGAGGCTGCTATGTATGGGGCAGAAGCTGGGCTTGTTTCCTTCCCACTCCATTGCAGATGTGGGGCCACCAGCAGCGTCTCACCGGCGTCATGTCCACCCCAGTGACCACTCCAGCAGAGCAGCTCCCAGACTGAGCTGCCACCAGTATAGACAGGCAAAAAGCTTTCTTGGGACATGGGGAAACAGGACACCTGAGCCATACAAACGTGGAAATGTGGAGTGGAAGTAAGCATTCCAAAATGCCACTTACCTCTTAAAGAGGACTGGATTGCTGCTGTCAGAACCAACTGCTAACTTGTCAGAGAAATAATAGCAAGGAACACAGGCAACACTGTCAGAGCAAAAACTGTCCCAGACGAAAGCTTTTGCCTTTATTCACTCCTTACTGAAATTCTGAACAACCCATGTAAATCTGCTCAAGTTAAGACTGTACAAATATTACCATGATACTTTCAAACTTCGTGCACAGTTATGCACTGCTCTTTACCACGAGGAGCTGGGATTATTGGAATGGCCAGATGAATAAAAAGCCAATTTATTTTCCATAGATGATGCTGTTTGTTTACTTTCAGAATTTTCGTGGGCCACCCTCAAGCAATCAATGAAGTCAGTTTCACTTTGATTTGCCATCCTTTTCTCTCTGCAGCACGGACTGAACTTGCCGACTCTACAGAGGGAACAAGTTATTGTTTAAAAACAACTATTTCCAGTGCATTATTTCATTTTAAAAAATCTTAAAAAACATTTATAAAGGGCTTGGGTTTTCTGAAAGTTTTGCTAAAGAAAAAAAAAAAACCAAACCAAACCGATGAAGTAACCTGAAGTTAAATTTCAGTGTTTAATTTTCCATCAACATTTACAAATCTCTTTCAGGCGGAGCTCTTTACCACACAGATCACCCTGTAAAAGGGCCCTATAAAATGGGACAGGAGTGAAACCGGCTCAGATCTGTAAGGCCACAGCATGCCATCCATTTCTAAACAGAAGTCCTATTCAAACCGTGCTGCTAAAGACTCATATGGCCTGCAAAAACAAACGGGATTCTCTTGAAATGATTTAAATAACAATTTATGTAAGACCGTAATCTTTCTTGTATGGGATTTGTAAGCCATCCCACAGAAATCTGTAGTGGGGGACACTGTTCCCTATTTACATCAAAGTTTTATATAAATAATAATGCATTTTTCTAATTTTCTGCAGCTGTTTTCCCTTATGAATAAGCCGGGCCTATGAAGAAAATGTGAAAATAAGAGAACCATGAGCAATATTTACAATAATGATATATCCAACTCAGGAAATTGCTACAACTGCCTTTATCAAAATAAACAAACCCCGTATTTTTTCCTCCTGTAAGAGAAAAGCAAAATCCTCCACTATTAAAATTAATTTGGCTCGCTATTTGTTTGGTATTTGGATCTGACCGCCTTATTCCCCATTTTTGGCCTCATTTGGGGAAAAAAAAAAAGCAACAAACCAGCAAACCCACAACAAACAGCGGCCCAAACCGACACACACACAGCCCCAGCTGCCTCGCTCTGTCTCACAGGAGCACACACGCAGCCCCGCTCCAAACTGATTCTGGCCACAGGACACGGCGTGGCACAAAACCACCACTCCGGGGCACTACCTTGGTGTGGGGGTGCTGGATCACTGTCTGTTCTGCACTGCACAACGCACACCCAGAGCCAGGCAGTTCCAGGAGCACCGGCCCTGCAGACCACACCGTCCCAGGGCTTGGACTCGCTGGGTGCCAGCCCCAGCATCGCACTCTGGTTTGAAGTTTACTGAAGCATGCTGCAGCCTTTGCCGTTGTGCCCAGTTTGCAGATGGACTTTGTGCCATCAAAAGGGCAAAGAGTTTTTTTTTTTTTTTTTTTTTTTTTTTAAGAATAAGCCATTTCAAAGTAAATTGATTTCTTCTACTGAAAAAAGTTTTTAAGATCAAAGAGACTTTGCTGCATACAGAAAAACATTTCTCCTATTCCAACTCTTTCTACGCTCAAATGTTTCTTTCCCCGTAGGGGTGTTCTAAAATGCAGAGATATATCACAGTCATTCTAAAAGTTATTTGAAACATTAAGGTGAGGCTGGGCTTCTGCTAAAGGGTGAGACCCCCAGGGCCAGGATTGCTGCCCTCCAGTGGGATGCTGCCCACCTGCTCAAGTCCAGAAGACGCACCAGGAGCCCAAAAGCACTGCCATCCATCCAGGGAACATCCCCAGAGAACCCACAGTCACCCCTCCTGGGGCCACATCAGCTGTCCCTCTGCAGGTGACCACAGTGCCTTTGGGACCCCACGTCCCAGCTTCAGAGCTGGAGGTCTGAGCTCTGGGAGGAGAGGCAGTGCAAAGCCATGAGTGCACTGGAATTCTATCAACAAAGTATTAATGTAGAAGCCTGAGTGAAAAGCAGAAAAAGAAAAGAAAAAAAGAGAAAGGAAAAAAAAGGGGGGGAAAAAAAAAAAGCAATCAATGAATGCCATTCCTCAGCTAAGAGACAAGCCACCAGTTCTTGGCACACTGATAGAGAAAACCTTGAAAAGTTTCGCTCAGGTTCTGGAATAAAGCTTTGGATAAAATGGAGCAAGTAGTTTGAGCGGTTGTCGTGCCAGTGAATAGATGTGCTGCTCTGGATTTCAATTAACTTAGTTTGTTCAGCAGGGAGGCACTTCAGCTGCAACCGGGGAGCTGCAAGTTAAAGGACAGCGAGAAAAACAGTGCAACAACAGCCACAAAAACCTGTTGGCAGCAGAAGTTTGCACTGGCTGCAAAAAAAAAATAATAAATAAATAAATAAAAGAGGGATTTTTAAGAAATATTTTTAAAGGATTTGAAGGTTTCGGAGGATCTCCGAAGCAGTCCCAGGTGGGTTGGGAACACTGCTCTATGCACTTCTTTGTGCTAAGAGGAAGGCCTAATGCATTTTTTTTTTTTTTTTTTAAGAAGTCTTGCTATTAAATAAATTATTTTCTCTTTAAAAAGGTGATTGTTGTTATGGAGAGACCTCCACCGATCAGCGTCCATTTTACATAATTACTTCGGGTTCTCCAGAACATTTTATGTAACTCACTTCCACGGCTGCCTCTGTCCTTTCTCCTCTCTCTCCGTCACCGGCAGAGCAGCAGCTCAGCCCTCCACCAGCACTGACAGGAGCTCACATAAAAGGACCATTTCGAATGGATCACTGTGAGCAGCCCTGAGAACCCACAGTAAATCTGGGCTCCAAAACTCGACAGTGCTCAGTGGCAGACGAAATGCATCACACATCCCCCCCCAACCACAAAAAAATAAAATAAAATACAATAAGGATTAATTCAGAGGAAAGCTTCAAGGTCTGAAATGACAACTAAGCAGGAATATTTGCTCAAATTTAAAAAAAAAAAAAAAAAAAAAGGTAAATAAACAGTTACTCGTGCTGGACAAAATGGCTTGATAGATTTCATAATTTGCCACCGCTGTAAAAAAATATCCCCTCCCTTCCCCCTGGCGTCCCTGTCGGCACGGACGGAAGCGCGGAGCAGAGGGTGGGGGGCAGCTGAGGATACCAACTCCCTCCGCCAAAGTTTGGGGTCCTTCCGAACCCGGCGATGCCTCCATAACGTGACATCAGCTCCGAGAGACAAAAGTTGCGATCTGCGTCTCCTTTCTGCCCAGGAAAGGAAACTGGAAAAATACTAATAATGAAAAATAGACGTTAAAAATACCCGAGAGGAAAAAGTCGATGTACGATCACCCGAATTAACCCCCTCCGCCCCCGCAGGCAAACAGACAAACAACAAAACCTCCGGATAAAGCCCTGTCAGGAGGAGTGGAACCTGCTTTCTCCGCTTTCTCTTTTCTGCTTTTATTTTAACGCATGACGAGCCTGGACTTCAAACTTATAGCCGACATATAGCCACACAACAAAGAGTCCCCGTTCACCCCCGTCGCCGGCGCTGCGGGCAGAAGTCGTCGGCAAATAGTAATAAAACCCATTTAGCGGTAAATAAGGAGGAGATGATATATGGACGGACAGATGGAAGTGCATAAACAGAGGAGGAAAGCGGCGAGCCGGGCGGGGAGGGCTGCTCACAGGAGTGCGAGATATTGATTTACTTGGAAGCGGTGTTGGAAAACAAACGCATTTGTTTCCTTCGCCATCGGGGAAAAAAAGAAAGAAAAAAAGAGAAAGTGATTAAAGTGAATCGTAGGGGGCACACCCTGAGATAAGTGGAGGGGGGAAGCACGTTTCCAGGGGTCAGGCCTCGGCGCGGTGGTCCCGGCCGCGGGCTGGCACTGGGCTCTGCCAAACTTGCATCTCCAAATTAAAGCCCGGGTGGGGGGCCGGAGAAAGAAGTGCCGCCGGGCGCAGCGGAGCGGGGCTCGGGCTTTCCCCTCCCGCCCCCCCTCGTTTTTTTCCAAAAGTTGGCTGGCCTACCTTGTTCCCCCGTCCTCAGTTTGCCTCCTCATAGCCTCCGTCTCCCCGGCACTACAGCGCGAGCGCTCCCGACCGCCTGCCTCCCTAATGAGTCCATTTTCCTGCTCTCGATGTTGTGTACACACACACGCGCTGCAACCTACCTTACAAAAACCACAGCGAGAGGGAGAGCGAGAGCGAGAGCGGGCGGGCAGAGGGAGCGGGAGCGGCGGCGGGGGGGAGCGGAGCCGGGCGCAGACAAAGCCCTCCTCCGGGGCGGCCGACGGCCCTCCTTCCCCGCTCGGCCGCCGCAGCAACAGGTTGGGCTCCGGGGCGGCCCCGCCGCACCTTCCTCCCCGCCGCCCGCCGGCTCCGCTCGCTGCGGGCAGGGAGGTGCGCGGCGGGGCCGGGCGCGGAGCTCGGCTCCCTAGACAATAGGGGACGGCGGGGCTCGGAGAGGAGGGACCCTGTAAACAATCGGACACCCCCTCCCCAAATACGTCCCCGCGTGGATCGAGAACCTTTTCCCCAGCATCTGTAATAGCGTGCTTATGTCTGAACAGGTGCAACGCATCCGGCGCGCGGTGTTCCGCGAGCAGACATCAATCTCTCACGACGCTCTCCCAAACAGGCCAAGGGTAGTTAAAATAGAGGGCTGGCTTCGCACGCGCTCTCCCCACTCCTCGTGTCCTTTGGATGGAGAAAGGCTGGGAGCAAGGTGTGCAGACAAAAGACCGGGGAGCCAACGCACGCAATCACTTGCTGCTACATCTTCATTCATTTTTACAATACACTCTCATATCTACACTGCTTTCAAAATAATTTTCACCCAGCCCTGCCTCTCGTCATGCGTAAACTTACGTCGTCACAGGAATTCTGTTGATTCTTACGATGAAAGTGGCAAAACAAGGTTTTGTGCCCGGACTTCGCCCTCGGACAAAGCTCCTCCAACAACTTCATCAGCAGGGAATTATTATTTTACTTGGAAAAACTGGGTCCAAGGGAAAAAAAAAAAAAAAAAAAGTTAAGTGATATTGCCATGGCTATGCTATGAATCATAGATTCACAGAGTCACAGTTATAGAACCACAGAATGGTTGGGTTGAAAGGGACCTGGAAGCCCACCCAGCTCCAGTGCCATGCCGTGGGCAGGGATGTCCCCCGCCAGCTCAGGCTGCCTTGGGCCCCATCCAACCTGGCCTTGAACGCCTCCAGGGATGTGGAAAATCAGTGGACAAACAAATGAGGATCCAAATCTCTTGATGCTTAACGGGGAATTTACCTCGAGTAACTCGCAGTCAACTAAAAGTTAAGCGTCCTGTCTGAAGCAGTTGTGTAGGCTCTCCCTGTTGCTGGTGGAGAGACAGGCACTTCTAAAAAGCCCTTCTGCCCAGCTCCCCATGCCCCTAAATGAAGAGGGAGCCTACAGAACATGGAGAGGTGAGGCAGTGATCTGGAGGAAGGCTAAAATTAAGTAAAACGAATCTGTTTTTGATCCAAAGCTCTATTACAACATCCTACTTCCCCAAACGCATTTTTATTATCATATTTATTATTAGGCAATATATGCTTAAATTGTAGTGATCAAAAAGGGATAGCCTGCTTACTAAAAAGACAGGTAAACTCCCTAGAGTCATGGACTTGTATCCTGAGGCTGGCCATATATTCATGATTCATGTGCAGCCTTTATAATATTAACCAGCCTGGTGACTGGTGAATTCGATTAGTTTTGTTCACTGCTAGCTGCTACATTTCTGTATTTTGCTTAGGAGCAGCCCATTTTCATATAGCTGTACAGTAAGTACAGAAAAAATGAAGCAATTTTTTTCAAATAGTTACTTTCTTTAACACCTTCATCAAAACACTGCCTTTCTTACCTTAGAATAAAATACAAAGAGCAAAAAGCTCTATTAGGTGACTTAGTTCAACTCCTTCAGTAAGATTTAGCTAAATGCACATATGGAGTACGTGGAAACAGCTCTACAAGTTAAGTTACTTCAAATACAGCAAAACTTAGCCTCATTATATATTTGTTTGTCTGGAACTTATGACCACATTCACCTTATTGAAGGGTATGTAAGGTTAGGAAAGCAGAAGGTGCTCTAGGAGACTTTCTTTCTAATTGTGGGTCTCTATATAATTCGTTCTGGCTGTACACATGCCAAATGACCAATGATCACTCACTGCCTCAGTATTTCCATCTGTAAAATGAGCCCAACAATAGTTGCATGGGCAAGTAGCACCATAAACATACGAAGTGCTTTGTTTTCCAATCCCAGAGTTATATGATGGGGAATGTTATGGGAAGAATATAAATATTTTATTGAGAGTTGTCTGTATCAAAGCCAATTGATGAAAATCACAAGACACTGCTATCCCCTCATTTCCACCACTCTTCCTCTCAAGTATTGGTTGGTGCCAATGCACTTGTTTCACCTGCAGAAAGAGGAAAGAGGAAGTAGCTAGCGTGCATTTGGCCATGCACAGCACATGACGTGTGCTCAAGAACATGCCTGTCATACCACAGGGACAGCAGAGGTTGGGTTGTCTCTCGCTATACCTCAGGCCACCTGGTCTGCCCGAAAGATAACACTTGCTTTTCTTTCTCTGTAAACCTGTCTTTTCAGCTCAGAGCCCTAAGAACATGCTGATCTTCAAGAGCAAATGGAAAACAGGGAAAGTCAAACTGTCCTCCAGAACTGATACGGCTGTGCAAGTCTTTGTTGTACATGACAAGATTGTGGATGACAGACTGAGAGGGAAGGAATGTGCTTCAGTGCCAAATAACATGCTCTGTAGTGCCCTGTTCTCTCCTCTCCTTTTTATGTTCCCAGGCTCACCAGCTTGGTGAGTTTAGACAAATCTTATAGGCAACCACAACTGGAAGAGATGTCGTACAACCACACCTGAGGCTATGATCTGCTTCATTTGAAAGAATTTGGCCTTTCAGCAGCTTCATAAATGCTGGTTTTCAAATTCTACAGACATTTAAGCAAGACTGACTCAATGAACCTGAACCAAGCTCATTCTTGCGATGGGTTAACACATTATTTTTTACGTACTCCACTTATCTGCCCCATCACAGTTTCATCACCACCTTCAGGGACTCTGCTTTACTAGAATACCAAGAATTGTTCTTATAAACCAGCTTGTAGCTTCCAGCTGATCCAGAAAGAGCAGATCAGAAACACAGTTTGAGGTTCTTAGTGATCTTAGAGATATTATAGATATTACAGATATTATAGATATTATAGATAGGTTGTTAGACTGATTCCAAGTGAAAACACCTGATCCCATGTATTGCAATAACCTACATGGGTCTGAGGCTGAATGTAAGGATACCATACTAGTGTTAAAAATTCCAGATAAATTTCTGTTGCAGCTCTTTGCCAGATACTATGGGTAAGACCTTGAAACACTCATGCCAACGTATCTGAACTGGATTTCCTCCATGTAGTCTCCTTCAGAACACGTTCATATCCTCCAGATTCCCCTGCTATACACACAATCACATTGCCAGTCCAACAGGAATGGTGATTTAGTTTTCTCTGCTCATGTTCTGCGGTGTCTTTACAACTATGTTCAAATGTAACAAGAAAGATGCCAATTAAAAAAGCACAAGAGCCCTGCAGCTTGGCAGGCTGATTCAAATTAGGTACCTGTATGAAGTGATTAAAATAGGTTTTCTAAATCTGAAGATAACAGGAGGACAGCGTGTTTGATTTACATCAGCAGGGGTCAACAAAAATGTAGAAGAACCATGCGGATGCTCTTTACCCCTGCACATTTACTGGTGAAGATGCTGAAGACAGAAGGAGAGGAATACTGCGCTCTCCCGGAGTTTTTCAATACTCAAAGAATCTCAACTGTTTCCCCAGCTCAGCAGTCATTCCTTACTGCCAGAACTCCAAATAAGCAACATTTTCCTTTAATTTAGCAGCTTTGATCCATGGTTCCACAGTCCTTTTGCACACACCTATCAACAAATCAAATCTCACAATTTCCTTTGGTAAAAAGCTACTGCTATTCTCATTGTACAAATAGTAAAAGCTAAATGGAAAGAGTTAACCATTCTGCTGAAAACAAACGTGAGACTGGGATGTCAGACTTTCCTGGTCAGTTCAGGCTATGTTGCCTTTATAGATCAGGCTCTCAGACAGCCCAATTGATTGGCAAGGCTGGGGCACATTTGCTGAACAAGAACTGGCTTTTCTATTGTTTTTGTTTGTTTTGTTTTGTTTTGTTTGTAATCCAGGAATGTGGTGAATAATAGATCAGATGCAAAGCTGATACGTCTCCAACTGTTTCAATGGCTTTGTGAAAATCTGCCTCCAAGTCACGATGTACCATAAATGCCCACTTTCTTTTATGATGACACTATCAGCATGTTGGCAAAGGAACAGTGACTGTGCCTTTATAGCATTTGGGCCACCTTGCATAAAAGCTGCAAAATGATGCTTAGCCTGTACAGTCATTCCACATCAGATGCAATAGTGCTGCATTACTTCAGTACTGTGTGGAGTAATTATAGCTGCTACATCAGTGAGCTGTGATAGTGAGATCTACGCAGCGTAAGAAATTCTGTCCAAACACAGACTATTCCTTGCTCTTTATACTACAGGGACTAAGAATCCTAATAAAACAGAGTCCAGAAGATCAATATCAGACCACAGTGCCATTCTGCAATAAAAAGAACAAAAATCCATAGCAGTCTTCAAACTCCCACATACTCTATCTCCATCTCCCTGCACAAGTTCGTACGCATACTTGAGATATCACATGTGAACTTTATATTTTGAATGTACGGATTACGTTGTAATTATTCAACATATAACAACCTGTACCTAAGCACGCAGCCTCCGATCCATCTGTATTTGTCCTCTCCATTTACAGAGTGCTGGGATATCAACTTTATTTGCATCAGCAGGCAATTTGTGACCAATTTAGCTGTTGAGCTAATGTGTAAGGCCCTCATCCAAGCCATGGAGTTACAATGGAAGCGGATCCTGTTACATACCCTACTGCACTGTATTGTACACCCTCTATTATATAACTATATGCTTCCCAAAGGTTATCTATAATTTAATTATAAAGTATCATATCGCAGCTCAGTCAGTATTTAAAGAACCAGAAATTTGATGTTTCACTTCAGGAAATCC